ATTAAGACATTCCTATGTGGATACACTAAGCAGAGGAAGGTCATATCTCCCTGCAGCATTCGCAGCTTGTTTAAATGTTTCAGGAGGAAAATAACTTCTGACACTCGCTACTAGAAAGTTTTAAATAAATCTTTATTCATTCAGATAACAGAGGCTTCTGTTAATAGTTGACCTGGGACTATGCTCATATTATAAAGGAACAGAGTAAAGATGCCATTTTTATGCAGCCTAGAAAGCCAAGAGTACACTGGATGTTGTGGGTTTCATTTTTAGCTATGCATTAAACCTCCAGTGCCACTTCAGACAAACCATTCCTATGTCTTTATGCTTTTGACATCTGTTCACTGTGTCATATGAAGGTCACAGCCCTGATTTTAGTTGAATAGGTGAAGCACTCAGCATTGGCTTAATTCTGTTTCATATAAGCTAATGGTAGCTTTAGCACCATAATTAAGCCGATTTTTGCCCCTTCTGCAAACTCCCTCAGAATGCAAGATTTGAAGTACTGTCCATCTCTGCTCGTATTCCCATACACCTCCAAATCAGGTCCTTTGCACCCACAGCACTTCATTCCATTGTATTCTAGCTCTTGTGAGCGCTCCCTCTTCTTTGCTTGCTACTCTACCTCTCTCATGACCATCAAAGTTATGGGACAAGCTGCACTAATGATATGGTCTACCAAGAGGTGTAAGTGGGAAATCAAAACGAAGTGAGGATACCAGGATGGGAGGCTAGCATTAGAAATTTCTGAGAGACAAATCAGATAAAGTAAGTGAGGGAGCTGAGGTGAGAGGGAGGGAAAGTTCACCTGGGCTAGAAGACTGAGAGGACATAGAGGTCTGGAGAGAAGACTAACAACACTCTTGCCGTAGGGAATAGACAGCTACGGAGGTAGGACCAGGTGTAAGAAGTCAGGGTTGGGAAAGAAACAAACTGAAGGGTTTAGGGTGGCTGAGGGTCAAGCCTGATAGAAATGACTAGAAACATCTGGGTCCACTAGGTCAGGTTTTTGGCTGGCCCAGAAGCCAATGGACAACCTCTGCTGTGCCTTTTGTCTTCATACCTGACAAGCACAAAGAAGACAAATCTGCTGCTACCATCATGTTCTCTGTTAGTTCCACTGAGAGAGATTAGTGTAGCAGTCAACAAGGCTCCAAGCTGTTTAATGGGTTCCATGCAAGGGAACAGACCCTCCGTGACTGTTTAAAGTGCGAAACAATGTAGACCCCCAAGTTAAAGCATAAATGAATATTAATGCAACCAGGAGTTCTCTGTGGTGAAGAGCATGCTGTCTCCTGTGATTTCCTGATAAATACCAGCTTCTCCAAACCACTGTTAGCCTTTGGTCCTATTTTTACATTTTAAAATTGAAATACCATAGGAAAATACTTTCTAGAAACGTGAGTGCAATACACAGGGCCTTGTGGAGCCAGAAAATTTCAATCTTATCCAAAGAAGCACTTGGCCTCTTTCATGCTGTGTTGTCATTTAGCATATTCCTTTCTTTCTTCCTCACTGCCACTCTTGCCTTGAGTATTGGAAACCAAAAGTTAACCTGAAAAGACAGAAAGATGATGCTAACTGAGATCATAGTATTACTGAGTTAAAGACCACTCAGACATAAACATCCCACATAGTCAGTAGTGAAAGCTATTTTTTTATAAAAACTCATATATGTGTCTGTAGTTATCTATCTGGCTTTACCATAAATATATATGTGTGTTTATATTTCCATTAGTGTATATACATACTACACACACACACACACACACACACACACACACATACAGTAAATGTAAGCAAAAAGTTCTGCTACCTAATGCTATTTGCAGTTGCCCTCCGACCGTGCTTTTTCAAATAGAAATATATTATCTTCCATTTTACTGAATAGCAACTGAATAGCTCTCTTAATGTTAAGAGACTGCTCTGATGTTTTCTGCCTATGTTGCAAGAATACTTTTTCTGCTGGAGATGCTTTTCACACATTCATGAAAATCAAGTTTCTCCTCTGGAGAGCTGCAAGTCGGAGGAGTATTTTCTTGCCAGTATATAGCCATTTGGGTCATTTGGCTGTCTGTATTCATGTTCTGCAAGATGCATCTGTGTTGAGGGGCAGAGCAACATGGTTATATGGTCTAATCTTACTAACAGGCAACTTGTCTCCAGGCCCACTTCAGGAAAGCATTTAAGTACTCCCTATTCCCTATCTGGGAAGTTTTATTAACACATAATTGAAGTTAAAAAACGTTCACATATTTTATGAGTCTGAATCTGGCTACTACCCTGAGAGAAGGAGATTTGTTTTTCTGTGCTGTTGATGGCTTACCGTTCTAGCAAATGAGTTCTTCTTCACAGTTTTTTGTTGTAGCTTTGCTCTTTTCTTGAGTAATTTTGCATGTAGATAATATATCCGTTTCATCTCAGTGTCAGGATAAAACGAAGCAGATACAAGTATTTTAAGCTGGGTGAGGACACCAGAGAATAACCCCAAAATTATTAAGAAGAAGATGATGATTCCAAGCTGGATCCATGTTGTGGACAGATAGAGTTCTGGTTTAGGGATGCAGTCATGCTTAAACAGAGAGATCTTCAAAAGGTCATTCTTTACAGTAAGCTGCCTATTACCAATGATAAAGTCGTTCTCGTTTCTCTGCACAAGAAAAGAGAAAAAAGAGGTTGATTATAGTACTGATTGCCCCTCCTTTTTAATATTTTTCCCATTGGATATTCAGTTTTACAAAGGACTATAAATCATCTGGTCCATCCTGTGTCTACAAAAGACTGCTCATAACAACATATTTATTAACTGTTTTTAAAATGTGTCAGATAGATTGCATTTTCATCATTTCTATAGGGAGACTGTCCCTCAGCTTGAACTGTTAGAAACTTAGCTGCTCAGTGGCTGTGATAGACAACCATTTAGCTAATCTGGCTGTGTGGCATCATATATTCCCGCTCTCCTGCATCTGCCCAGATCATTTGTTGGAGGGTCACAGAATCACAGAATGGTTTAGGTTGGAAGGGACCTCTGGAGATCATCTAGTCCAACCTCCCTCCCTGCTCAAGCAGGGTCCTCTAGAGCATATTTCCCAGGAAAATCCTTCCCAGGATTTCCCAGGTCCTTCCTTCAGAAGAAAACTGCAGATCAGAATGTGTCAGTCCCTTTGTTTGTGGCTCAGTATGTAATCAATCAGCAGTGTTTCCATACCTCCAACTAGGCCAGTGCTCTGACCACAGGGTTACTGTGGAAAAACAAAGCCATCTCTCCTCCTCTAACAGGTGCCTTCTCTCAGAAGGGCTGATGTCTTGCACTGCTCGTGGACTGAGATGCTGAATGACAGGAACTGAATTAGGTATGCTGCTGGGGTCAGTATTTCCTACTGGCAGGCAACACTGAATCGTCCACCTCTCTTTTCTTTTCTTCTCATCCTCTCTTGTCCAGCGGGTATGTGGCTCTTCCCTGTGGCTCTTCAACCACCTTACAGAGATCAGGTACTTCTGTTTAGGCACTCATTACGTAAGTTAAGTGTCCAAAATAAGCCATTCGTCATCAGCCTGTTCTCCCTTTTTTTAACATTATCCTCTTCTAATCTACCTCAGTCCATTGTTACTGTATACTGAACTGATATAGAAACAAGGAAAATCTGCATTAGAATCATTCAATATGAAACACGGGTGCAAAAATGCATGCAGATCTTAACTGTTCCTGCCAAGAATAAACAACTCGAGGAGTTGCTGGGTCTTTTCTGCTTGCCTAGCCATGTTTCTCGTCTCTTTCTCTGAGATCAGCAACTCTGAGTTTCATTTGACAGAACTATTAAGATTAAATTTTACATTTTTATGTGATTAGCCTTCAATGGGGAAATAGAACCAATCTGATACTTGCCAAAATTCCTGTTTTGGGAGGGAGTCTATCAGTTCTCCAGAGAAGTGAACACTGCACATCAGCAGAACAAATCCATAGTGTGAAGGCCATGAATCAGACAGGTCTCATGTTCAGGTTAACGGATGGTAACACTGAGTTCCTTCCTTGCTCTGACTTGGGTCATCACGGACAAGGCAGATCATGATGAAGGGCTGTCCTCAGAGTAAGAAGGCATGCAAAAAAGGCATACAGAATCACATGGAAAATGGTTGAGGGTGGAAGGGACCTCTGCAGATCATCTAGTCCAACCCCCCCAGCTCAAAGCAGCAGGGAATGGGTTGAGAAGGTTGCTCAGGATCGTGTTCAGTCAGGTTTTGAGTATCTGCAAAGACAGAAACTCAACAGCCTCTCTGGGAAACCTGTTCTAGTGCTTGACCACACTCACAATCAGAAAGATTTTTTCTAATGTTTAAGTGGAATTTCCTGTACTTCAATCCGTGCCCTTTCCCTCTTCTCCTGTCACTGGGCACCACTGAGAAGAGCCTGGCTGCATCTCCTTCACTTCCTCCTATGAGATTTTTACATGCATTGATAAGATCTCCTTGAACCTTCTCTTCTCCAGGCTGACCAGTCCCAGCTCTCTCAGCCTCTCCTCCTATGAGAGATGCTGAGTGATGCCTTAACCATTTTTGTGGCCTTTCGCTGGACTTGCTGCGATATGTCCACGTCTGTCCTGAACTGGGGAGCCCAGCATTCGCCCCAGCACTGCAGATAGGTCTCACCAGGGCTGAGTAGAGTTCCTGTGTTCCTCTTGCCCTTGCTTGACTTCCTGTTTGTTGGGATGGACCATTCTTGAGCTTGGAAGAGGTGATCCCTGAAAATCAAGCAGTTCTCTTGGACTTTTCATCTCTTGAGGACTGTGTTCCTCGGGATCAGGGCTATTGGTGGTCCCATGGATGGTTTGGTGATGCTAGAGCACAGCTGCTGTTTAACAGGAAGATTTTTTTTTTTTTAATGAGATGCCTGAAATGTGGGAAGGCAGGCACCCTGGAGTAAGAGCTAACATGAGGGGTAAAGCCCCCTTTAGCATGTGTGGCAATATGCCACTGCAACATATCTCACATTAAATTGCCTGAACAGGTGATGACACTCTCTCTGCCTTTGCCCATCTGATCTCTCCAGGATGCATCTAACTTGCTACACATGCACAGATCACACAAGTACAGTAGATCCAACAGGTTTTTTTAAAGAAAGTTGGGGTAACAGTCTGCAGTTGGCAGCCTGCACCCTTTAGGTCTAAATGAGTTTTCCGTTGACATGAACAGGGAACATTTGGCTTATGTCTACCCTATAGGTCCTAGATTTCTCCCCTATTTGGTAAGAAAGAGCTGGCCAGTAATTTAATTTTTATCCCATGGAAATGTTTGATATTTTGATGTATGATAGAAAAATATCATTATCTGAGGAATGACAGAATTTGACTGATGGCCTGACTTTTCATTTCAGCTCATTTCAGTACTAGGTTGCATTTGCCTAAGGTGCCTGCATGTCTCAAACATGCTGTGCCCTACGGCTTCCTTCTCCCTCGTGTCTCACTTCCAAACAGATGAACTTCCCATGACACATCAGGACCACCAGGCTACCACAGCGCTGTCTAAGCTGAACCTGCAACAATTTAGCAGTGTGTCATTGGAAGTGTGGTCTGGCAGAGGATACCAGCTTAGAGGAACAATATGTCACATGCAAAAGTCAGAATGAAAAATCTCTCTACCAAAGATTGTATGTTCTATTCTGTTTACTTGTAATTTTGAGCAAAGCACTTATTGCACTGCTCACCTTAAGAATTTTACTCTCTGAAGTGGCTTTTGGCAAAATGAGCTTTCTGGGGTTGGTTAGAAAAGGGAATGAATCCTCAGTACGATCAGCTCTAAGAGGAAGTAATATAAAATTTTGAGTAAGAAGACACTGACAGAAGAAAGAGCATGTATCACATTGTACTAACAGTCAAGCATCCCTTTGAAATGCTTTTATCTTGAAAGTATCAAAGGGTTATATGCTTTCAGGAAATGTTTTAAGCCTGTTCCTGTGAGCTATCAAAGTGGACAGCTTTCCCATGCCCTTACAGCACCACACATCAATGAAGCTGGCATCAAATGTGCATAGGGATGTAACTCCTGTCCCCCTTGCTACCTGCTCCAGCAGCTGCTTATGCACTTTCTCTTAAATGATAATTCATAGACTGTCCTTGAACGAGAACCTAGAAGCTGGAAGGCCTCATTCCCAAGGGGATGTCCTGTAACTGGGCTCTATCATCTTCACACTCTTCCTTCTGGATTCTTGACTTTTGCACTCCTGGCTTCATCGTGGCCTAGCCAGGAGATGAGGAGTGGAGAATAATTCAGCAACAGGGAGCAGTAACCTCTTTAGACAGTGAAGCTCAGAGCCAGTGCTCTTAGTTACTCAAGGTGTTTATGCAAGAATTGTACTTCTACCCACATCCTTTGCTATGCTCAAGAGAGGACTCTTCTTTTCATATCCTGAGGGAATGCTTGCGCTCTACACAGGCCTGAAATCTGCCTTTTCAGTGAGGCAGTTGCTTCAGCAATGTCCTAATAGCTCACGGACAGTGTTCTTGTAGAGGTACTGACATTTTCAGTAAAGCCAAGAGAGAGGAGAGCCCTGGTTTAGCTCTCTGAATGATTGTGCAAAGATCTTCATGTGTCTTGCTCTCTCCTATGACTGTACAGAGAGAGCCCCATAGCCTGCTTTTGGCCTTCTAAATCCCCTTACCAGACCCAAGTGCCTTCATCTTTGGGTGTTACAAGGCCTGAGTAAGGTGCCTGAGTGACTATTGGACTATGGCCACATTTTCACCAGGAAGTGTTAAATGTCTAACGTTCTGCTGCTGCTCCTGTCCAGAAATTCAGTGATCTTGGCTGAACAGGTGAGCTCAGCATATAGCTCCTGACTAAGTGTGTTTGGGGTTCACAAACACCTATCTTAGCAGCAGGGTTGTTTGGGGGAGGTGTAGCCAAGTGGATGTGCTCCAAGGATCCTTAACACATACAGACACATGGGAAACAATACAAAACACACTATGCTTGCATAAGAGCCAGAACAACCTTACTGTCAGTAATGTTGACCCTGTCTTTTATATAATAGTCTACTTAGTACAGTATGCTGAAAGTGGGAAATCTTATTTCTACCGTGGGAATAATGTTCTAAGAGGTGAAACAAACCACCGTAAAATTACAAATGGCCCAGAGTAACAAAGAAAGCAAGAAATCTTGTACATTAAGAAAAAGAAAAGTTATCATAAAAATGAATTAAGAATCAGATCTCTCTTGAGAAAAACAAGTTTCCTCCTAAGTATAATATTACCTTTCCTGAAAAAAAGCCAGGGTATCCACCTTCATGCCTTTGTACTAGCTCCTTTTTGAAATATTTTGTGATGATAGCATTTTCACTAAGACATCCTCTTTTAGCAATGACACAAATGCAAGAACTACTAGAAAAGCCGTAAATAAGCTACAAGTAATGAGCTCTTCACATTACTCAGCTGAAGATAAGCATCTCTTACTTCAGTTTCACAGTCAAGTCATATTATAACTATAAAAGTGGTGCTTTATCACCGTGAGATTCCATGTTTAAGCTTCTGGTCTTCTCCACATATATAAATAAGGGGATGAAAGTCCTTCTTCCCATATTTATTACTCTTGAGAAATATGATGACACTATTTGGAAAGATCGGAGCATTGTCTGGTTCCATCCAACATATGGATCTGATAAAGGTAATGACCCTTTTTGACACAAATATATGAATTATAGTGCCATGAAAGAACTGATGTCTCATTGGCTGTGGGAACAGATGCTCCCGCAGCTGTTGAAGAGGAAAGGAAATTCTTCTACCCTAAACTAAATGAAGAAATATTGAGTACTGAGACGTACTTACTTGCTGAAAGAGGCTGAGTCCAATCTCTAGATCTGGCAATTCTTGGAGATGCTTATTCACAGAAATAATTAACCAATAAAGCAAGTAATCTATTGCTGCAAATAGAAGCCAGATGCAAAGATGAACAATTACAGGGAGAAAAAAATGCTGCATGTTTTTTCCATCCTTCCACGTGAGGCAAAAAGATGGGATTGTCACATAAGCTTTTCTTTCATTTGTGTTCAGTGGCAGAATGCATGGCTTTTGCTGTTGCCTTTGATGGTCATCAAATGCAACAAACTGCTTTGTGATATAAGTATTTTTAAACTTTGCACTGTGAGCCCCCACAAATTTTTTGATAAAGAGGCCTGTACCTAAAGAAACTAGAAAAATTCCCATTATAGGCAATGCTTTCTGGCCTATATTGGGCAGTATAGTCAGCATAAAAGATATCTGGTTAGCAACTCTCTGGATTTCTTGTTTTGTGTTATTTAGCTGTTGTTTCAATGCATCATCTGAAATTGAGTGAGATGATGTGAATTCATGACTTAATGACACTATGTCTTTAGATAGGTCTGTGGAAAACTTGGCCTTCTGGTAAATCCATTTTATTGCCTCAGCGTAATGTTTTATCAAGGCAAATTGCTCAACCTCTAAATGACAGGTGATGCTGTCTGCCAGAACCTTTAGGTTGTGAAAAATACTTTGGATGTTGCCAGCTACCACAACACCTGTACCAGCAGTAATAAGAGCATTTCTGCCTTCTCGCAGTCCACAGGAAAGAATGAACAGAATGCTAAAACAGCGCAGGTGCTTGAAATAACAGAGTGCAACAGAAAGCGTGATCCAGATGAATCCAGAAATCAGTAAGGAATCTAAAGGTCGGTGTGCTAGGGAGAAATTCATGGCCAGAAAGAAGATCACACTTGAGAGGAAGCCAACTGTAGCGCAAACTGCAAAAAGCTGCATGAGATACTTCCAGCCGGGCTTCCTTTCTGATGTAAAAATTCCCCAGGCATTCTGGACTATTGAGACAAATGTTCGCATTTTCTTCTGATTATTGTTGACTCAAACTAAAAAGAAAGGAAAACAAAAATTCTATTAGTTGCAGAGTCACACTGTTGACAATAATATGATTTTAGTTGACTGATCAGTACTTCTTCACACTGCAAAAAACATCAGAATCTGCCTCTGACTGAACGGCCTCGTGTGAGACTCAAATGGACTATGGAACTGAGAGAGAAAATAAAATCGGAAATTACTCCAATTTAGAAAGCAATCAATGGGGGCAAAAAAACACAAGTTTGCTTGGCCACTTAGCCTCAAACGTCGCCTATATAACCACTGAAGAGATGATTCTGAAAGGCATTTTGTCTTTTTTTTTCTTCGAAGTATTTGCATTGTTTTACCTTTTGTACATTTTGATTTCTCACTTGATATACAGACATAACTGTATATAAATGGATATATATATATATGGGGGGGGGTGCGCACGTGTGTGCACATGCATATGGGAAGAGGAGAGGGCAGTAAGCCTGGGATACCACTCAGTACCATTCACCTGAGATGGCAGTTTTGCCAGGAAGAGAAAGAGGGGAGCACAGGAGCTCCCCATGGGGTACCCTGCTGTGGGGAAGCACAGCTGGGCCCTGTGGGGAGCAACCAGAGCCGCTGCCAGGGTGGGAGGAGCAGGGCGAGCAGCACGTGCATGCTGCCCGGGGATGGAGAATACATTGCACCTTTTTCTCCTGGAGGTAGGTCAGTACAAAGGGAAGGACGTGTGTCTCAGAGGCATCATTCTTTCTTTGGGTCTCTCCTGGGATAGCACAGCTACAAATTGACCCATATACCCAGTTAACCCTAATTGCTCATACTGCTACCATCTTTCCTGCCTACCAGCATGCCTGTAGTGTAAATTAAAGAATACTTTTGTGAGATTAAAGCAATTCTTGTTTGATGGGAAACAGCACCCACCCTATGTTCATATCATACCTTCTTTTACAAGGTAGCATCTATTGTGCAATTTGTCCAAAGATGCATGACTAATCTGTATGCATATTAGCCTTGCAACATACTAAAATAAATAAGACCCTAATTAAATAAAATAAACTGTTGCAATTTTATCTTATGATAGGGAACTGTTGTCTTTACAAATACATCCTGGAGATATTACTTTGTCTTTTGTTTAGCTTGAACACAGCAGGTAGCCAGGAATTAAACTATTATTTTATATACATACTGTATTTTAATGGCATTTGACTTTATGGATTCTGTTAGCATTCACTTTAATGTTTTCCCTTCTTCTCTTTACTGTTATTTATGAGGTTTGTCATTATCACTTTTGCATGTAACAAGAGCTGAAAGTGATTAGAGCCCTCTGATTCCAGCTGGGCCCTTCTCTGCCTCCTGTGCTCAGGGTGCTATTTTTCTTAGCCTCACTCATGCCTGGCCCTTTCGAGTGCTGTGGGTTCTCCTGAAAGATGCTTGGGTATTTTCAGTGCTTAATGACTTCAGCAGGGATTAAAGGTGGGCAATAGCTCTCGGTTTGGGCTCAAGCCCTGGCACGGTCACACTGCTTGGCAAGGCTTAGGAAATTGTTTTTTTCTAGTACATCAGTGACCTCATATGTAAATTGAGTATAGCAGCAATTAGCAGTTCTTTCACGGGAGTGAGGAGGTAATTAACATCCGCAAAGCATTCAGGGAGCTCTTGGTACAAGTCACTATGTGTTTGGATTAGTGGTGCAAGCAAAACTGGGAGAGGCAGCATGCACAACATTGGACTCCAGCTTCACAGTTAGCAGAGCTATCATCTGCTTACATAAATGGTCTCCTTTTCCCTTCTTACCTAACTAGAAATTAAGAAGGCATTTTTCGGAAGCATTATTAAAAAGGAGACATTCATCATCCTTGAGTAAATCAGAGCCTGACCTAAGCACTAACAAACCCTGCCAGCAAATCCTGAACTTTGTAGATCAGATTCTTAAACAGTATATGCTGTCACATCTGCATTGGAGAGCTAAGGAAAATTATCCTACGTCATCAGTGGATTAAGAGTTCTTAATTTAAAAAGACAAAAAAATCAAATGCAAAAAAATCTAGCATTTATGCAACATTATGCAAAAACTTCTGTATGAGAAACTCACACACACCAAGTTTTCTTTTGCAGCATTGGCTATATTGCTGTAATTAAGTATAGTTTCTCCATGGCCTTGAGTGTTTGTACATACACTTATAGTGTATTCCTGCTAATGTTTATAAGCAGCAGTATATAGGCTGTAGTATGTGACAGAGAGTTTGGCATGCTTTGCATGCAAGACTAAATCTAGGAATTGGAGAGAGTGAAGAACAAATTTTGTTGAATTAACAAAGCCCCTACTTCTGGGATGGGAGACTGGAGACTTGTAAAACAGTGGTAGAAACAGAAAATAATGAGAAAGTCTCCTTTTCTGGGCCCACATACAGTTGCTGTGTGCTTGCATGAGGGATCACTGCGCTCCTCAGTAAACACAGAGCAATCCTTAATCTGTGGGAACGCAGAGTTTTAAGGCAGCGGAGGTGTTGTGAGGAACTGTTGATTTTTGGAACCTGTCCCACAGACACTCAGAGGAGACTATGTGATCTCCGCAGGCTGCGGGGAGCATTCGCCGTCCCCTGCTGAGCCCTTCCCTGGAGGGCAGCCACTGCAGGAGTCCCGACTTGGGCATACATCTCTGTAGCTTTTTTCATGCCCCTCACTTTCCCCCATAAGACACCATCAACAGACACAGATATTCAGCACAGGAGGATCATACAAAGGACAAAAGCTATAGGCCTTAAAAAAATGTGGAGGCCAAAAATTCTAGCATCAGCAAGCACTTAAACAGCTGTGAAGGCTTGAACGGGAAAACAACACTGGCTCAGAGCTAGAAACAAATCTTTGGCTCAGCTAAAGACTAATTCAGTCCTTAAAGAAAAAGTAAACCTTGAGCACTTTCTGGAATGATTCCAGAAAATATCAACCCCCCAAAAGCTCTCCTGAAGCTGTTAGGCGCAGATATGAATTCTAACAGGAGGGTGACAGGAACAAACCTTTTTTTCAACTGTAATCTGAAACACAGCATTTTTTTCTTCTGTCTCATAATATGTACCAGTGTGGGGACTGCTACCATTATGTGTGCAGCATAAGGAAAGAATTATTCTTAGAAAACAGTTTTTTGCCCTTAAGTGCTAATTTCTTTCAATCATATTTTCTAGTGATCTAAGCCACAGAGGGGAGCTGGGAACTCTTGAGCTCTAACTCTGCCTTTGAACCTGGTTTTTCTGACACGCCCAAAGAGAACCTGTCTGTGCCTTTGTTTTCCTCTCTAGGAAGTACTTACTCCGATCTGGAAGGGTGATATTTAGCTACCACACTGCCAGCTGGCAGGATTAATTATGAGAACAAAGCCTCAAAAGGGGCTTCTCCAGCAAGGCGTTTGGTCCATACTTCTTAAGGTTTATGATGTATTTAAAAGTATGAGATTAATGCAATGTAAGTAAAAGGTATTGTTCTAATTACAGCTTAAGATAGATAAAAGAGGAAACTTTTAAAGAAATCTTAGATCCGGCTTGCGAAATTTCAGATGCTGGCTACAGTTTTTAAGTAAGTAGAGGACAAGTGAAAAGCATCAAGGGTCTCTGGAACATGTCTTTCCAGCTCAGCCACAAGCCTTCCGCTAGAATTCTGCAATTTTTATGCACATCGTACATGTTCACATCATATACGATTTCTTCCCCTGCCTGCTATGGAGACTCCTCCAAAGTTATCTCCCAAGCGTCATGGCGCTCTTTGATGTCGATTTGGTCCTGGTTTTGCCCCTTGCTCACCCCTTATCTAACAGTTTCTTTTTGCAGTTAGATAGAAACTCCTCACGTTTGCAGGGAGTGTTTCTGGAACCATCTCTACCCAGATACCTCCTTGCTTAGACCAGACCTATGTTTGTGGCATATGGATTAGTCACGCATCTGATCTCCTTGCCTCTTCTGAATTAAACGGAAGAAGCAGTGATCTCATAAAAATGATGCACGGGAAAACTAATAGAATTTACAGAATAATTAGCTTCCATTAAAAATTTTGGATAGTTGGTGTAAATTTTAAGGGCGAGTAGAAAGTAAGGACACAGCTGATTTGGCAAACCATGACAAACAGAGTCACATCTTTAAGTCTTCTATTCTGACAGAGAGCTAAGTCAGGCAGACCCTAGGGTCTACAGTTCCCATTGAGTTAGGACTGATTAGCAGCACCTAAGTTGTACACCGCCATATAAAGCCTGATATAACCATTCTCTGTGTAGACCTGTTATCTGAGCAGAGCTCACAACGATCATGACTACTTTGGCAGGCCTATATCCTGTGCAGTGCACAGCATCTTTATACAAAGCCCAGGTTTCATTACAAACCAAGAGAGGCAACAGGTTTCATGGGAAACTTATAGCCCATTGATTCTAAAGCTTCAGCTACACAGTGATTTTTGCCTCATAAATCCTATTTGGTTTTTGTACAAGAATTAGGGAAGAGCAAGCACACAATAGGAATATAAAAACAAATGCTTCCTTTTTTGGCAGTTTCAGCCTTCTTTCTCAGTCTGGATCCGTTACACAGGAGTGTAAGAGAATTACTTCCCTTTTTTGTATACCATCAGAAAAATACGATACCGAACTATGTCTTAGTAAAAGACAAAAATATGGGAGGGAAGTTCCACATTATTTCCCTTGGTCATTGCCCAGCATTTAGCACAGAAACTAAAGACCAATACAAAATCCAGCAACATTAATGTAATGATCCTCAGGGCTTCACTGAGACCCTTGTCATTTCTTGTGTTCGCAGATTTTGTTTTTAACTGAGGAGGAGTGATATTAAACACAGCAAATACATGGGAAGGCTGAAATACATAGTCACATGTATGCAGATAGGAACCTGAAATAGCAAACAATGCAGCAATGCACATAAAATATCGATTCATACACAAGCCTCCCCAAAAAATCCCAAACAAAAACCTCAACGGATCAAGATCCCATTTTCTTTTTTTAAATATATGGCTCAGGAAAATTCAAAACGTGACGAGATATTATTGAGTCTTTAGGATGCTATGAGCTGGTTTCATGTCATCTAATTTCAGATGTTTACAGTTTAATGCTCACATCTGAGTAACCTGTCTTTATGTCAATGAGAAAAAGGCAGCTACCCAAAGCCATACTCCTGATCTATTTTAGAAGTCGACCTTAGAGTGTGAGGGATTGCATCCCATAGGAGCTTTTTTTCTGTATATTGACCATAAAAAGAGTCTAGATTACTCAGATGGAGCTATCCAAAGTTAAAGAAGATGAACATCACTCTGTGTTTCCGCATTGTAAGCACAGCTAATATTTGACTGAGCTGGGCTCTCAGAAAGGGACACGATAAACGCGTCAGGGGTAGCCGTAGACATTGTGCAACTATGGAAATAAAATGGAACAAGAAGTCAAATTTTCTCACTACTACTGCTATCAACAGTGTTACATTTGGAGGCTCTGATGCTGCAGACCCACACAGACCTGCTTCGTTTAAAGCACTGGTAGGAACGGAGGCACAATTTGGGAAACCCAAAAGATAGTTTGCCTATTGACAAAATCAACTCTATAAAGCATAAAAAATTCCAGGATTAGGATGGAAGGGATCTCAAAAGGTTACCTACTTCCTCCTCCTACATATAATATCACTATGCATAGTGTTGGAACAGCATAGAACTAAATAGCTACATGAACTTTAGGAAGAGACCCTTCAATTAGTGAGGTAACAAAAACTAACCCCACTTCAGCAGAACTACCATGACTTGCTATGTTTATAGAAGAGCCAACCCTTAACGCAATTTATTTTTTCCAGTGTAATCATGCAACTTAGAACAGCTAAATCAGTCCATGACTGCTATCAACAGTTACTTGTTATTAACCTTAAAGCATTACTTACGAGCCTTCCTGTAAAGCACATGAAGGATCTTCACATCACTGTGTCTCTTGGTTTTGGTGAAGAGCAGAGATTGGCACTACTAAAAAAACTTCACATGAGTCATTTTTCCCCCTACCCTCCCTCAGTGACTCAGGCACACCACCATTTTGAAATTATTCTACTTTTAACAAAGAGTAATGAGGAAGTAGCTTAAGCCCAAGACCAGAATAGTATATAATTTGCAAGTGCCACTTTCCACCTTTTTTTCTGACAGAGTAATAGATATCAGCAAATGATTTCTGTGCTCAGATTTCAATGACTTAAATTTATGTTGAATAATGCCTTAGGTCTGGAACATCTCAGCTATTTCAGTGCTTCCCATTTAAACTAGTGGCAATCTGGTGCCAAAATAACTTTCAAACTCTAATCCTTTTTGCACTACAAATGTTCTTACCGTGATCTGTGTGAATATTTCGGTAGAGAATCTGACAGAGTCTGGCCCCTAGAGTGCTCCCTACCTTAGATATCCAATAAAGAAACTCAGACTGTGTAGGCTGTAAAACAGGGTGGTCTCTAAGTTTAAAATGTGCCTTTTGTATGTGGTTTTAGAATTGTATTTAAGTATTTTTTAATGAGATGGAATATCACCAGATATTGACATGGCAGATACATTTTCAAAATTATCTACAGATATTTACTAATTCTCATGACACCTCTAGTCTAGCAAGAACTTTTTGCAGCCTGTGTGAAGCAGGGTCTTTATCCTGTTAATATTTATTATACGTATTGTAGCAGACCTCTGAGACTTTCCTGAGTAGGGATCGGCACTGTAAAGCTTACAAATGAAAAAGGTCCCAGTCCTAGTCTAGGTCTGACAAGAAACCACCACATGATGAGCGGTGGTTATAGCTTACCAGACACTCAGCAATTGTCAGGTTTAGGTTTTCATTATTTTTTGCTTCTTCACTTTTTTTTTTTAAATAGATGTCCCAAGAAGGATAAAAGAACAGAATCTAGCCCACACCTCCAGTATCCTGAGAGCATCTGGTGCCTTATTTGATAAGAAATTCCAACTGAATTTGGCACTGTGTGGATCAAATAACAACTTAGTGACTAATAATTTTATTGGTGGGAAAGAGAAAAAAGAGAAATGCTGCTGCATTGGAGAAGTTATTTTGGGACTCCTAGGACACTGTGTTTAAATAGATGTCCCAAATTTTGGGGGTCCTTTAGCATAAAAATTCTTTACAATTTAAATAAATGAAAACCTACCATCTTTATTAACCAAGAATTTAGTTAATTCATATGGTTTGTCTAGTCTTAGCTGCTTAGCAGAATCCTAGGACAGCTCTGTTCACAGCATACAGCCTTTCTCACTAGAGAGCAACTCTTTCCTCCATCCATTACGGAGGAAAGACCATCTGGTAGGTGACCTGTATGCCATTATGGTCACCTACGTCAGGGACTGTGCCTATACCGACAATCAAGTGTGGTTTGGGTCTGCATCCAGCTACGGACTCAAGTCTCACATTCATCGCCTGCACCCAAGCCTTGCGCTGGAAGCCAGCTGCTGAACATTGCTGAAGAAAAAGCTTAAGCCTTAGTGTGATGCCTTTGTACAGATTTATTCTGTCCTTCAATTTTGATGAATTGGGCACAAGTGGGGTTGAGCACTTTGCAACCCTCTCTAAAAGACCAGGTTTTTCGGACGTAGACGTGTATATGTCACCCAAATACTGATTTATTCAGCTACCTCTATTTTTGGCTTATAAATACTAGTAACAAGCAGCCAAAATAAGAAGTCACCAGAGGCATGCTCATGAGCCGTTATCAGTCACATAAGATGTACAAATTGTGTTGTAATAGCAACCCAAATGATGGGGTGGAATGCACTCTCGGCAAGTTCATGAATGATATCAAATTGAAAGGAGTGATTGATATACAGGAGGGCAGAGCCCTGAGGGACCTCAGCAGGTTGGATAAATGAGCTGAACAGCAATTTCACGAAGTTCAAGAAAGGGAAGTGCAAAGTCCTGCACCTGGGAAGGAATAACCCCCCTGCACAAATGCAGACTAGGGGCTGACCAGCTGGAAAGCAGTTTTGCAGAAAAGGACCTGGGGCTCCTTGTGGGAAACACGCTGAACATGAGCCAAAAGTGTGTCCTTGCGGTAAAGAAGGCAACAGTTTCCTCAGCAGTTCATGAGCAAAAATCTAGACTGAAAGTCAAGGGAAGTATCTCTTCGTCTTTGCTCAGCAATGGTGAGACCACACATGGAGTGCTGTGTCCAGTGAAGAAATTCTAGTTCAAGAGAAACTTTGACATCCTGGAGCAGTCCAGTGGAGGTCCACCAAGATGGTTTGAGCACGGAGAGCCTGATAACTAGGTTTTTTCAGTCTTAAGGAGAGAAGACTAAGGGAGATCTTACTGCTGCCTTTAACTACGTGATCCAGAGAAGACAAAGACAGATTTCTCAGAGATGCACAGTGGCAAGATGGGACGCAACAGACTCAAGCTGGAACACAGAAAATACTGAGTAGACATAAGGAAAAACATTTTACATCATGTCAAGCACTGGAACACACTGCCCGGAGAGGCGGTGAAAACCTCATTCTTGGACATATTCACAGCTTGAATGAACAAGCTGAGCAACCTGGTCTAATTGGAGCCGCTTTGAGCAGGGGATTGAAATAAATGACTTACAGGTGTCCCTTCCAACATAAATTATTTTATTCTTCACAAGAAAATATCTGCCTTACCAGTCAAGATTGAGACACTAAATCCATTTAAACTTGCTGCTGATCTAGGCTGGCACAGTATCACGTATATGTGCTGTGTTCCCATGCCATAAGCACTCTAGCTAAGCTGAAGCAGTATTACATATCTATCAGCAGTAAAACAGTCTAAAACAGTAATAATAATAAAAAAAAAAACTTGTATTGACACAAATGCTATTACTTTACTAGCTTTGAAGTCCTAAAGGAAGGGCAGAATCAAACTGTCTTCCAGGAGTTTGTCTGCATAAAGGACCATAGAGTCATTTAGGGACATGGTGTTGGCATCTTAAATATCCTACAGCTTTTGTAGCTTCAGTAAACTGTTATATGACAGTTATTTTTGAGATATAGTAGTTCTCTTGCAGAAAAATAGTAAGTTTATTTAGTGGCTATGGCAAATGAATTTCCTTGCTGCTCATGATTCTGAGAACAAAAAAGATGAGAAGTGCTAATTTGTGTCCAAACATGAAAAGAGTTGAAAATCTGACAGAGATTTCATTGTCACAGTGTAAGGAGAATAAAACACACAGCAGAGTCTTTTAATAAATTCTTATTCATTCAGTAATCAAATTGGATCATTTCTGCTAAAACTTGAAGGAAAATCTGTAAAGGTTTCATTTTGTTTTGACCAAACCTTTGTCAACTTAAAATTTTACTTTAAATAAAGCATTGGTTCCTGCAGACTCTACATTTGTGTGCCTATTTGTTTGCATGTATAGGTAAGAAAAAAACATACTTTTGGATAGGCATCCTCTCCTATTAAATGGGTCACAGACCCTACCAGTCCTTTGATTCATCCATTGAACTCTTCAATCCATTCAATCAGCTCTCAGCAGAGCCATCTAATGAAGAAAGATGACTAGAGAATCACTTTAAAGGAAATGAAAGTCAGATTTACTTCTTTACAGGGAACAACACCAACAGAAATAGCAGGAGGAGTCCTATACATAGTCTTCCAAGAGCCTATGATACCTTTCCAGTAACATCCTCCGTTCACCGCCTCTCACAGCCACTTTCAGAACTGACTTGCAATTATGGTTTTAATGTCTGTATTTAACATTCAGACCTATTTTTGGAATAAAACATACCCATTGCTTTCCTCAGAAATGTTATAGGTGGTGTGGGCCATTGCAAAGACGCTATCTACTGTGGCTAAGGAATTCTGAATTGGAGATTATCTCTCCTTTAGCCTCTGATTTCAAAGATCCAGGGCTGTGGATCAGGCTCATTTCTGTCCTTAGTCTATTTGTTGATGGTAGAGTCCAGTTCAATCAGCAATTACAGAAGTACTGAAATGAACGTTACCTATTTATCCTTGGCTGAATGGCCCTACATGTAATTTTCCAGACAGCCAGTTTTCCAGCAGGTACTGAAGTAGCAGGACACAGTGGCTCACCATAAGACCACGTTTCCCGTCCACAGAGTAGCCATATCTTTGCTATTTCAGTATCAGCTACTAAATTAGCTCTGGAAGCAGGAAGGCAGCACGATGAACATAGCACAGTCACTGAATTATGCATAATGTAAGGGTATAATTAGATATAGTGCAAGAAGTACCATCTATAACTGGGGGACATTTCTGTTCATTATAGGAAAAATGAATGAAATGATCCTTTAAACAGAGCATATTTTTCATACTATTATATGGGGGAAAATTCAGAAAAGTGATCCCAGCAAGTGCACATTAGATCAGACCAAGTTTCCATCTAGCCCAGCATCTCAGCCTTGACAACGGCCTGTAGCAGCTGTTTTACAGAATCGCTGGGCTTGCTCCAGTATGTCCATGTCTGTCTTGTTCTTAGGAGCCCAGCCCAGCCCCAGTCCTGTAGATGTGTCTCACCAGTGCTGAGCAGAGGGGGAGGATCACCTCCCTCAACCTGCTGGCAGCACTTTGCTTAATGCAGCTCAGGATACCAGTGGCCTCCTTTGCCACAAAGACACATTGCTGGCTCCTGGTCTAATTGTTGTCCACAAGAAGCTCCACGTCCTTTTCGGCAAAGCTGCTTTCCACCCAGTCAACATTCAGCCTGTACTGGTGCATGGGTTATTCCTACCCAGGTACAGGAGTTTGTATTCTTCTGTTGAACTTCATGGGATTCCTTTTAGCCCTGGCAGTCTTCACAACATCCAGGATCTGAGTGCCCAGCAAGCAGCAAATGTGCTGCTATGCAGCAGGTCAGGTTGGAAATGGAGCAGGTGAAGTCAGGCAGATGGAGGCCTCCACCGCCCGCAGTAGGGAGTCTCCTACTGCCATCACTTGCTGCTTCCTCCTGGTGCTCCTGCATGGCTCAGGATTGGCAGGCTTGAATGCTTCATTGAACAGAGCTCCCAGCCCTTGGCCTGCTAAAAAGGCACTGAACCTCTTTTGTAGTTGCAGATCGGCAGGTGGAACAGGAGCTGTCCTCCTGGTGCCAGAAGTCACAAGCTTCTAGCCTTTGCCATCATAGGAGTCTCCATTTCCCAACCCAATAAGCACAGACTCTACTTGCTCCTCTAACTAGTTGGAGGTTCAGGCTCTTGAAGCTGCAGGGTCTTGGAGAAGATCCAGTTAATCTGTTTTTCGTTATCTCTGATGCTGCACAGTCTCCTGCAGCTCCTTCACTTGGCAGCACAGACCTTCCACCAGCACACACCTCCTGCAGGCAAGGAGCCCATCTTTTCAAGTCCCAGAGCCAGCAAGAGG